AATTCAATTTGAGAAAACAGCAGAACTTTCTTTAATCTCACATCTTGCTTGGAGATAAAAAAAAAGTAATGGTAAGGTCTGGTGGCATCGTAAAAAATGCTACAGCAATCGATTTATTCTTCAATATTTTCTATTTTTCTGTTAGAAAACAAATATATATTAACTAGTGATTTATGTGGATTGTACCAGCTAATACATATCGTATTAATTTAACATAATATATCTTGACCATTCTGTTTTTGTAAATAAGCACAATAAATTACTTGGTGTAAGTCGCATTTTTGCCTTAACTTGCAAGATGTATCTCCTAAAGTCGCATATCATTATACCAAACTTCGATGGATTTTATAATTAATCCACTTGTTGTCGATGAACTTTCTTCAAAATTCAAAAACTGTTTGAAAGATGTTTGAATTTTTAGTAAAAGCAAAAACTTTATTTTCGAAATAAACAGTTGAAATTTTTATCTAAATAGCTTTATCTCAATTCTAATTGATTAAGTAAATTATTTACACGCATGGGAAGTATTTGCTTCTGATTTATCTAGTGTTGCAAATTTAGAATATTTCTTTAACAGTAGAAGCTCCTTATTCTGGTTTCTTATATGGGATATAGGGGATACGTTCAAAGGCGACAAAATCAAGAAAAATGAATATACAAAAAATAATTTATAATTGTAGTTTTTGGACATTTTGATTATGTTTAGGCGAAGGCAAAGGTTTGAAGAACTTTGTAATAAAGGAAGCTTGGATAAGGAACATCTAATGTATATTTTTGATCCTCGAATTTTTTTTTAAATAAAAATTGTATACTTTAGTGAAGAAGTTAAATATATATATACATACATATATATATACACATACACACATATATATATATATATATATATATATATATATATATATATATATACATATAATAGTTTTGTCGTCTAAAGGAGTTTAAAAGTTTTTGTCTAATGGTTGAAATAACTTACTTAATGTTGAGGGAAGTTAATAAATATTTTGTTTTAAATTTCGTATACAATTTAGTATACGAAATTTAAAACAAAATATTTATTAACTTCCCGTAGGGTAAGTTATTGTAATCGTGCAAAAATCTAAATTGAAAATTTTTGCATTTCTCGACGTTTTGAAAGTTTCTGAACATTTTGGCATACCTAAGAAAAAATGCATGAATGTGTGTGTGTGTTTTGTGTGTCCGCATTTTTTCATTCACGTTTTCGGGCGCACGGATCAATCGATTTGAATGGTTCAAAAAACATTCGATTCCTACTGATAGGGAAATGTGCTGATTAGTTTTTGGCAAAGCCAAGTCCAGCCGTTACGGAGATAAAGAGCAAAGAGTGCTGAAAACCGAAACTGATTTTTTGATAGAACGAAGCATCCAATTTGAATGATCTAAAAAACATTCAATTAGTAATGATTGGGAGAAGTGGTTATTAGATTTTGGCAAAGACAGGTCCAGCCATTTCGAAGATACAGAGCTAAATGTGCAAAAAATAGCAGTTTTTGAGAGAACTAAGCGTCCGATTTAAATGATTCAAAGAACTTTCTGCTTGTTTTAACAAAATAATTGATTTTGGAAAAAAAAATTTTGTTCAAAAATTTTTTTTTCAATTTTTTTTTTCAAATTTTTTTTTGTATATCGAAAATAATTCAGATTTTATTTTTAATTCTGACTAAAGTTCTAATATGCTTTAAACAAATAATTTCAACTTTGCAATTCAGTTTATATAATTCTTATAAATATTAGACAATGTTACAATATTTATAATAATCTATTTGAAAACATTCAATATTCCTCGAACATTTCTTTACGGTACGGGAAGTTCCGGCAATTTGCCTTAAGGCATGATGTCATACACTCCACTAGTTTTTTAATTAAATAAGGAATATTCAAAGAAAAAAATTATTTAATTATGCATAATAATTAACTACCTGTAGGGTAAGTTACAGTAATGAGCCAAAAATCGTAAATGAAAATGTTTGCATATCTTTACGTTTTAGTGGTTTCTGGACATTTTGACATACCTCAGAAAAAATGGATGTGTATGTATATGTGTGGAGACAATTTTTCGTCAACGATTTCGGGCATATGGATGAACCGATTTGAAAAATTCAAAAAGCACGCTTTCGACTTTAATATTTTTTTATTTATATTTAATTTGTTATTTATAGTTTGTCTTCATTATTTGTTCTCATGGATTTTCGTTATCATGTCTCAAGAAACACGAGTTATTATTTCGGTTTAAAAGAAGAATTAGCAAAATATTAAAAATGTTTTTTTTTTATTATATATATTATAACATCAGTACAAAATTTGCTTTAAAATATGCTCATATTATTTTATCGCGAGCAGCAAAAGTGACATCTGTTGGAAGAAAGGTGGCGCGTTGAATCATGAAGACTCAATAAAACTTTGACGCCGCTTGCTCTTCTTTGCGATGGCCCACATCTTCTTACCAGGAGTCCCGAATTTGCGGCCCGTGGTCCCTGTGCGTCTATAATAATGGTCAATAGAAAATAGTAACTGCAGACTTACTTTTTTGCTTACAGCAAGTTGCATTTACGAAAATAAAAAATATATAGTTGTAAAACCTTCCAGTTTCGTTTTCTGTTTCTAATACGAAATGAACAATTTCTATTTTCTTGCAATGACGTAATTTTTAATATTACTATTTAAATATAACATTTTTCGGTTTTGACCAAATCGGTATTGGTGACGATTTAGGTATGATGTTCAATACCCAATTGCATATAGTTATCTGTAATCTGACACCACTTTTCTTAATTCTTAAACATCAGCATTTAGATTTGCATTGGTATTGGTACTTATCCGTTTTCTGTAATTGTCCAAAAATCGAAATTGAAAATTTTCACATTTCTTTACGTTTTGAAGGTTTCTGAACATTTTGGCACACCTCAGAAAAAATGGATGTGTGTGTGTGTGTATGTATGTATGTATGTATGTCTGGATACAATTTTTCGTCCACGTTTTCGGGCGGATCAACCGATTTGAATGGTTCAAAAAACATTCGATTTCTATTGATGATTAGTGCTGATTAGTTTTTGGCAAAGGCAGGTCCAGCCGTTACGGAGATACGGAGCAAAGAGTGCAGAAAATACAAATCGAGTTTTTGAGAGAATGGAGTATCCGATTTGAATAATCTAAAAACCATTCAATTTGTAATGATTGGGAGAACAGGTGATTATTTCGAAGTCATTTCGAAGATACAGGGCTAAATATGCAAAAAATTGCAGTTTTTGAGAGAACTAAGCGTCCGATTTGAATGATTCAAAGCACTTTCTGCTTGTTTTAATAAAATAATTGCTTTTGGGAAAAAATGGTTACAATTTTTTTTTCAAAATAATTTTTTTTTTGTATATCGAAAATAATTTTAATTTTTTTTATAAATTATTTCAACTTTGCAATTCAGTTCATGTAATTCTTTTAAGTATTAGACAATGTTACAATATTTATAAAAATCTATTTGAAAACATTTAGAAATCATTAGATGGAAATGCGAACGTTTCATTATATCGTTATTAGTCTACCTCTACATCAACTTGACTATTTGGCCCTGTTTTGACTTCGTGTTTGGCACCGCTGTCCCACACTAAAAATCGATATGACTATACACGGCTAGACATGAGTCATAAGCTTAGGGGTGCACGAACCCACGGACATTGTAGGGAATGGGGGTTGTTTAAACGGGCGGGGAAGTCCTGTGAGAGAGCTTTCGCATTAGACATCAAAACACGGGAACTCTGGTAATGTTCGGTTCCAATGAAATATTTAAGGATATTTACCTTGGAACAAGATAGGGCAGAAATAGTATATTTAATCAAAACAAATCATCATATATCTTTTTGAAAAAATATCCCAGGGCCGAACTCTGTTACATGGAATAAATATACTAAAGGTTTCCTACAAATATTTTACAGATTGAGCAAATTCATTAACTCAACAGTTAATGAAAAATCATGAAATTAAATTTCCCGCTTTTTTAAGAGAAAACGCTTTTTATTAATAATATTAATGACTTGTTTTTTATTTATTCTGAAATCAATACACTACATGGTATATGATATGCTATAACTAATTTCGGCTAATAAATATCTTATACTTTGCTTAGTTATTATTATGCTTAACACATTATAAGTGAGCACGTAAAAATACTCGCCAGGTCAAACTGAATGTGTAGCTGGCAAAATTTGCGAGTAAAACGCGCCCTCTAGCTTTTACGTCGCCTTGTATCATAAACACAACTTACCATATCGTTAAATACATATTTTTCAAATTTTTCAACAAGAAAGTTGTATCGAAATATAGCAGTGCATTCTTAATGCTATCACTGTATGAAATCGCATAAAAAGAAGGCATTTTAAGTGGCACTATTTGTTTTTAGGGATTCACAGAAGCTCTTATGACACCTAAATAATTCGATTTTTTTGAACATCAGAGATCTACTTTTTCGTATTTTTTGTTATTTGTTTGATGACCTGTACGAGTGTCGCCTAAAAACGACATACAGTGTGTCGACATTTGATTCAAGATTTAATACTTTAAGTCACATTATTAAAAATTCTAATTTATTGTTTTTTGTTCCTTGAAAGTGTTATTTTTATTTTTCAAATACATTTTAATTAAACATGGTTGGAAAATCTTAAAATATTTTGTTTAACAAATATTTGGGCGGCTTGTTGGCTCATATGTTTACAGTTGTCACTCTTGCGGAAAACAGCGCGATGGCTGAAGTGTTGAATCATTTGTTTAATATATATATTTGGTGATATTAATTGCTATTGTTTACCTTTTTTATATACATCTTCGAACAAAAAATTTTGACTAAACATTTTGATGCGTGGCTCTTAAACAATTATTTCTTTATAAGAGAAATGCACTACTTGGTTTTGTTCGATCTTATTATCCGAGCTTTTATTTAAAATTCACTCAACGTATTTTTTTTATTTTGTGACTGACAATTGAACTAATCAATGATATTTGATTTTAGGCCTGCGAGGAGTACTGCTAGAATGCGAGAACTTGCGGGCCTTTGCCCGACGCGTCTGTCAATTCTGCTGACTCTATTGCTGCTCCTCAAATGTTGCTCCTGCTATTTGATCATCGTACATGAAAACGCTCCAGCCGGTGAAATAATTTTCAACGCATCTGTTCACAGGCTCGGTTCCGATCGCGCCTACTCAATCAATGCACATAAATCGGCTAGTTATGTTCATCGTATCATTCACGTAAACCATGACACAGGATCAGTTCATCTGAAGAAACAATTGTCTTGTGATGGCTTATATTATCCTAGTTTATTTACGTTCTACGTCGACTCGGTATCAAGTCGTGTGCGAAATATTGATTACTATAGTTTACCGTTACGGATTTTAATAACTGGTGCTGATTGTAGCGATGGTTATTTTGATCTGAGTAGTCGTCTATCATTCGATGAACCTGATCAAGAAATCCGTAACAAAAGAGAAACACGCGGCCATATGAGTCCACAGAATACTGGATTGGAGACTGCCCACCAGTACTTGCTTCATAGCATTCAACGGCAGAAAATACTTCGTATGAAACGATCGATTCGTTTTCTAACTGCTTCGAAAATTCAGAAACGAGTTGAAGATGCGAAAAGATGGGTATCGGAGACTTACGCCTCGTTTGCTATTCCAACAACTGATAAGCCATGGCAAAGCATTTGTTTACGAAAATCGCAATTTATTAACTCATTAGCTAGCTTTATGCCTAAATCGGTTGAGCAATATTGCAAAGTAACGTTTATAGATTTAAATGATGATAGATTTACGGTCGAAACTCAAAATTTTCATCTAGTCGCACGCGATGATGTTTGCATATATGAATCTTTATGGAAGATAGTAATTTTATTTAAATTAAATTGTGAAGGGATCGATGTAATTGATACAGAACATAGGCTAAAAATAGTTTATCATCATCAGGAATTCAACGATACTGATATAGCTAAACGTGTTAGCGTGAACTCAGAAATCAGTCTCCATTTTTCGAGCAGGCATTATATGTCGCGTCTATTATGGAAGAACAAATACCACCTGCGGCAGTAACAACTCTAAGAGCGAGGATCCTGAAGGCTCTACTATAGAATACACAATGACGTCTTTGCTGGATTCCAGATCACAAGGAATGTTTCAGATAGATGCGCATTCAGGGTCCGTCGTTACAATGGTCCGCTTGGATAGGGAACTAGTTGATGTGCATTATTTTCGTATTTTAGCAACAGATGACAGTTTTCCACCAAGATCGGGAACTACAACTCTGCAGATTAATGTTTTAGATTGTAATGATTACGCGCCCACGTTCGAAAGCTCAGAGTTTCATGCAAGTGTACGAGAAAGTGCATCAGCTGGATCAACCGTAGTAACTTTACGCGCTACTGATCAAGATGTCGGTAAAAACGCGGAAATAGAGTATGCAATAGAAAATATTTCGGGTGAAAAGGATTCGACGGATGTCATTAATCAACCATTCAGAATAGATGCGCAAACTGGTGTTTTGACTGTTCGTAGTCAATTAGATCGTGAACGCGTAGAATCTTATTCTGTTATTGTGACTGCTAAGGATTTAGCTCATCCAACGAGCGCACGTAAAACAAGTACAGCAACAGTTGTTGTAAATGTACTGGATGATAATGATAATTATCCTCAATTTGGCGAACGTACATATTCTGTGCATATCAAAGAAGATAGCGGTAATGATAATCCGGTCATAGCTCAAGTAGTTGCAACCGACGCAGATGCTGGTGTAAATGCTTTCATTCGTTATGCTATTATTGGAGGAAACACTATGTCGCAGTTTTCAATTGACAGTATGACTGGCCAGGTTAGTTTAGTGAAACCTTTAGACTACGAAACTACAAGAAGTTACAGATTAGTGGTAAGAGCGCAAGACGGGGGAAGTCCATCACGATCAAACACAACTCAACTATTGATAAATGTAGTTGACGTGAATGATAACAGTCCCAGATTTTATGCGCAGTTATTTCAAGAATCTGTTCTTGAATCTGTTCCGCCCGGTTATAATATTGTACGTGTTCAGGCGTATGATGCCGATGAAGGTGATAATGCCGAAATTACCTATTCTATCATTGATGCTACTAGTTCAACTGGTCTCAGCTTTGAAGACGGCCAATCAGAGGAAGTAGTAAGTACTACTGATTTTCCTTTATCTGTTGATTCCCGAACTGGTTGGGTACATACCACAACAACTTTGGATCGAGAAAAACAATCGAAATATCAATTTCAAGTTATGGCTAAAGACCATGGAAACCCGTCACGTTCCGCTTCTGCTTCCGTATTGATTACTGTGCAGGATGTAAACGATAATGATCCAGCATTCAATCCCAAACATTACGAGGTGTCACTAGCTGAGGACGAAGTGCCGGGAACTCCAGTAGTTCAGGTAATAGCTACAGACCCAGATGAGGACTCTAGGTTGCACTACGAAATATCTGGCGGAAACACACGTGGGAGATTTGCGATCACTTCTCAGAACGGGTACGGACTCATCACTGTCGCGCAAAATTTAGACTATAAACAAGAACGAAGGTTTATTTTAACTGTATCAGCTACTGATTCTGGAGGTAGAGTAGATACTGCAACAGTTTATGTAAATATTACTGATGCTAATAATTTTGCGCCGGTTTTTGAAAATGCTCCATATAGCGCATCAGTTTTTGAAGATGCTCCATTAGGAACTACTGTATTAGTTGTGTCTGCGAGCGACGGAGATGTAGGTCTTAACGCAGAGTTAACGTATACATTATCCGAAGATGCAAGTGGTCCTCAACCATTTAGAGTAATCGAACAAACTGGTGCAATCGTCACAAACAACTTATTAGACCGTGAAACTGCTAGCAGTTACTTATTAACCGTCACAGCACAGGATGGTGGCACTCCTTCTTTGTCCGATACTACTGATATTGAAATCACTGTGTCGGATGTAAATGATAACAAACCGATGTTTACTGCACCTATGTATCTTTCTTCCATACCAGAAAATGCTCTCATTGGAACATCTGTGATTCAAGTCTCAGCTACGGATGTTGATATCGGAATGAATGGCCGTATTCGATATTCGTTGGTTGAAAAAGATATCGAAGATGCTTCATTCGTTATTGATCCATCTTCTGGAGTAATACGCACTAATAAGGGTTTGGATCGAGAATCTGTTGCTATATACCACTTACAGGCGGTTGCAAAAGATTTGGGCACTCCATCACTAAGTTCTACAGCCGAAGTTCAAATTAGAATTGAAGATGTTAATGATAATCCTCCAACGTTCGCCAGTAACAGAATCACATTATATATTCCTGAAAACAGTCCTGTGGGCTCGCTTGTTGGAGTTCTTCATGCGCAAGATCCAGATGAAGGAATTAACGCAATTATACACTACTCAATTATTGGTGGGGAAGACAGCAACAGCTTCAGTCTTATGACACGCCCGGGATCTGATCTTGCGGAACTGCTAACTATGGTAGATATGGACTACGAATCACCTAAAAAGAAATTTGAATTAGTAGTACGTGCAGCTAGTCCTCCTTTGAGAAATGATGTCCATGTGGATGTTATTGTAACAGATGTGAATGATAACGCGCCTGTTTTGAAGAATTTTCAAATATTTGTTAATAATTACAAGGATCATTTTCCATCTGGGGCAATTGGCAGAATACCAGCATTTGATGCTGATGTGACAGATAAACTTGATTACAAAATATTGTCTGGAAACAATGCTCGGTTGTTGTATTTGAATCAGTCTACTGGTGAGCTAACATTATCACCTCAACTGAATACCAATGTGCCAAGACAAGCATCTATGAAAGTTGCAGTATCAGATGGAGTTAATGATGTACAAGCTGTAATGACAATGACTGTGCGCTTAGTAACTGAGGATATGCTACTTAATTCGGTAACTGTGCGTTTAAATGATATGACTAGTGAAGCATTTTTATCACCTTTGATGAATTATTTCATTGATGGCCTTGCGGCAATTATACCTTGTTCAAAGGAACATATATTTCTGTTGAGTGTTCAGGACGATACTGACGTCAATTCTCGAGTTTTAAACGTATCATTTTCAGCCGGTCGTTTTGACACTCCCTCTATGTCGTTTTACAAACCACAATACTTGCAGGAGAGGGTGTACTTGCACAGGTTGCTACTACAAAGTATTTCTACTGTTCAAGTGCTACCGTTTGATGACGATTTATGCGTTCATGAACCCTGCTTGAATTTCGAGCAGTGTGTTACGGTTCTAAGATTTGGCAATGCGAGTGGTTTTATTCACAGTGATACAGTTTTGTTCAGATCAATTTATCCTGTTACCACATTTGCTTGTAAATGTCCTGAAGGATATACAGGGAGCAGAGAGCATTACCTATGCGATACCGAAGTTAATTTATGTTATTCGAATCCATGTAAAAATGGTGGTGTATGTATGCGGAGAGAAGGTGGCTACACTTGCATTTGTGAAATGCCATTCACAGGTGTAAATTGTGAAACAGTTCTTAGTAACTGCACCGGCAATAATTGTATGACGCAGCGAAATTGTCTAATGGAGCGCGACCTGGATAGTATGTGTGAAAAATGCCCAAGAACTAAAAGTAAAGAACGGGTAACTCTGATAACTCCGGCAGCTTATACCATGGAACGTAAATCTCAGATTGATCCTCATAACGAATTCAATCACATGTGCGAATTACGATCCCGAAGTTTTGTCCGCGGTTCTTACCTAACTTTTCCAAGTTTACATCAAAGAAATAGATTTCATATAAAATTACGGTTCGCTACATTGGAGCAAAATTCCTTACTTTTATACAACGGCAGATACAATAATGAGAACGACTTTGTAGCGCTTGAAATCGTAGACGGTGCAGTACAATTTTCGTTTTCATTAGGCGAAGGCACTGCTACAGTTTACACAAATGTACCAGGAGGAGTTGCTGATGGCTTGTGGCATAGTGTTGTAGTTGAATATTTTAACAGAACAGCAATATTATCAGTAGACGACTGTGATTCTACATTGGCACTATCTCCTGAAATGGAAAATAGAGGCATAGATTTGATGTGCGCTAATTCGACATACCTCGAGCTACCAAGCAAATGTGTAATATTAACTGAAAACTGCCATAGATATTTAGATTTGACAGGACCTTTACAAATTGGTGGATTACCTAATGTTCCTAATTCATTGCAAGTAAACTCTAGAGATTTTGTAGGTTGCATTGGCGATCTTCACATAGATCATCGTTTTATTGATTTAAATAACTTTGTAGCCGATAATGCCACAATATTGGGCTGTCCAGAGTTATCAAATTTTTGTTCATCTGATCCCTGCTATAATGGTGGTACATGCATTGAAAAATGGGGATCTCATCATTGCTTGTGTGCAGAGGGTTTCACTGGCAAAGATTGCAATGAAATTACCACACCACCATGGCGTTTTCAAGGTGATGGCTTACTTTCATTCAATCCTCTTTTAAGGCCTATTCAGCTGCCTTGGTTGAATGCATTATCTATTCGAACAAGGCAATCAAATGCATTTCTGATGTCAATCCAATTGGGTCAAACAAGCAAGGCTATAGTATCGGTGAGTTTAGCAAAATATTTAATATCACTTGTTTATGTTGTTATTATAAATTCTATTTTTACATTATCAGCTGAATGATGGGTTTTTGCAATATACTTATAACAATGATCCAGTTTATTTGTCAAGTGTCAATTTATCGGACGGTCAATGGCACCGAATTGAAATACAGTGGCTTGGCACAGAATTAGCTTTTTCATTAGATTATAATCACAGAATGGCTATATTACCTGTAACACACAAGATTCAGGGATTGTATATCGGAAAAATTGTACTTGGTATGGATTCTGGAGTTTTCGGCAATTTTGATTATGGTTATTTTGTTGGGTGCATTCAGGTAAACAACTTATAAATAATTATAAACGATATAAATGTTAATAATTTCAAATTAATTCCTCAATTCAATGTAATTTTAGGATGTTAGAGTAGGAAACTTGCAATCAGTACTTAATCGACCAACTGTGCAGGAGAATGTTCAGGAAGGTTGCGGAACGCAAGCTGAATGTCCTATTAGTTGTCCAGAAAATTCCGAATGTAACATGGAGTGGGATGAAGTATGTTATATGCATTTTGTGAACTTATTGTACCTTTTATGAATATTCTATTTTATTATACTTTTAGGCTGAATGTGTTTGTGAAAAAGGCTATATTGGCAAAGAATGTATTTCGAAGTGTGATGTTAATCCCTGTCAAAATAGTGCAACATGTCATATGGATTACACATTAGACAAGGCATATTATTGCAGTTGTAACAGCTCTTTGTATTCAGGTATTGCAAAAGAATTGGAATTTTTATTAGAATAGTCTGGTTCTATATGCGATTTTTTCCATTTGCAAATTATTTCGAAATATACAAAATTGTATTTTTTGAGAATTTACATGATTTGACTGTTACACTTGATATATATTTGCATGAGAAACTTAACAGACTTAAAATATATGAGCCTTGAATTTTTACATCATAACTTTTTTCCACTCAGTTAAGTGTTTCGTTTGATACATATCGGTTCGTTAATAACAATCGGATTCTAATAAAAAGCGAGCATTAGTTCTTGATACTGATGATCTTTGTAATTTTTCAATTTGTTATTTACAACCTCACAGGTGAATATTGCGAAATAGTACTAGAGCAACCTTGTCCGGCAGGCTGGTGGGGTGTAGGAGAATGTGGACCATGCAATTGTGATGTGGATAAGGGTTATAATCCTGATTGTCATAAAACAACAGGAGAATGCTCTTGTAACGTAAGTTTATAATTGGATCTGACATAAGAATTTCTAATTTATTTACTAATTTACTTTATACAAAATATCAGGAAAACCATTATCAGCCAGAAGGTCAGAATGCTTGTTTTCCATGCAATTGCTATAGCACGGGTTCTTTCAGTTCGACATGCGACAAAATTAGCGGACAATGTTCTTGTAGAGAAGGCGTCATCGGTCGACGATGTGACACTTGTCCCAATCCTTATGCGGAAATTACTTTAAAAGGATGCGAAGGTAAATAATGTTTTGTTGAACTAAATTTTACAAAACAATCTTTTGCTTTTATTTTAATTTCAGCAGATATATTGATGGACCGAACTTATTTTAAAATTATATAGTGTTAGATAAAAAGACCATGAAAACTTTAAGAAAAAATAATTTAATAATAATAAATAAAACTTTAATTTGAATTCTATATTTTTCATTTAGCCTGAAATTTTATAAACTAATTTTGAACTAATATCTCTGAGAACTAAAAATGCGTTTTTATAAAAACACAATCATCTTCATTTTGTTGTCCATTTTGATGCCTATCTTTAGGAAAATGTTGAACACTGAAATATTCCAATTTTTGATAATTCGAAAAAATAGATTTATAAATAGATTTTAATATTTTAATTTCAAATTAAATATGACGTATATAGTCTAGGATAGTATAATTTAGTTATGACCATGATATGTATTATTGTATTAAGTGAAGTAAGTGAAGTTGATCGATATATAAAATGACTACTGACTTTACAAATGATATATTAACATTTTCCACTCGCAAAATGCGAGATTTATATGAATTTTGCTGCCGGAGTGGCGGCATTCGAGTCGAAACGGTTAAACTAGTGCTGTATGGCATCGTGCCTTAAGGCAAATTGCTGGAACTTCCCGTACCGTAATGAAATGTTCGAGGAATTAAACTGTTTTCAAATAAATAATTATAAATACTGTAATATTGTCTAATATTTATAAGAGTTATATAAACTGAATCACAAAGTTAAAATGATTTATTAATTGATTTTTTTTTCCAAAAGCGATTATTTTGTCAAAACAAGCATAGTTTTTTGCATCATTCAAATCGGGATGCTTAGTTTTTTCAAAAAATGCCATTTTTGCACATTTAGCTACGTTTCTCTGAAACGGCTGGACCTGCCTTTGCTAAAATATAATCACCACTTTCCCCCGTCATTACGAATTGAATCATTCAAATCGGATGTTCCGTTCTCTCAAAAACTCGATTCCTATTTTCTGCACTTTTTGCTCCGTATCTCGAAACGGCTGGACCTGCCTTTGCCAAGAACTAATCAGCACATCTCCCTATCAATAGGAATCGATTTTTTCATTCAAATCGGTTGATCCGTGTGCCTGAAAACGTGGACGAAAAATTGTATCCATACCTACATACACACATCTGTTTTTTTGCGGTATGCCAAAATGTTCAGAAACCTTCAAAACGTGAAGAACTGTTAAAATTTTCAATTTTGATTTTTGGACGATTACAATAACTTACAATTAGTCTACGGGAAGTTAATTAACAGCTGGTTATGTTTAATTTTGTAGTGGTGTACGATTCATGTCCACGTGCGCAGGATGCAGAACTTTGGTGGCCTCGTACTAGTTTTGGCAGCGAAGCAATCATCAGTTGCCCTGCACCGGCTAGCGGACGCGCATCGCGTCTTTGTGATTCCACTCTGGGCGGATGGCAGCAACCGGATCTTTTTAATTGTACCTCTAAACCGTTTATTGAACTTAGGAAACAGGTATTGTGATTTTAAAGTTTTTGTACATCTTATAATATAATGCATAATCTAGATGTTTATTTAAAAAAAACTGCAGACCCGGCATATGCCCGTCATCTTACATGATTAGATGCGATATTTACAAGATTATTTGACAGGGGTTGGTTATCTCGATAATATTGTATTTATACTGAGACAATGTGTTTTCATAATAATTATATTGTGCCAATTAATCACCATAGTATCTGGGCTATGTTTATTAATTAACATATAATTGTTAATATTAATCAATTGAATTCAAGGGATATTTTCAATTAAATATACAGTAGAACTCCAATTACCCGAACTCCAATCATCCGAACTCCAATTATCTGAACTCCGACTATTCGAATCGCCGATTATCCGAATCACTTTCAGAAAAAAAATTGTCCAAAAAAAGTATAAATGCGCTATTATTCTTCCACCAGCAAAGCCAGTGTAGGCACATTGTTTGTTTTGATTTGACGGAGATGTTTACAAAACAATGATTTTTATTTCTAAACTTGTACATAAGTATATTTTATTTATATTTAAAATATGTGAAAATGTCATGTTTCTTTCATTTAATTCAATAAAAAAAATAGTGCAATATCAAAACGTAACTTTTTTTCTCTCCAATGGCAATTTTAAAAACAAACTCCGATTATCCGAATATTTGATTATCCGAATGGGTCCCGGTCCCCATTAATTCGAATAATTGGAGTTCTACTGTATATATTTAATTCACTTATTAAAGTGAAAAAGAACTTCACTATTGTTCAATATGATGTTGATGGTAACTGTTTGATTGTATAAATTTTATACTTTATTCCAGCGGGGATAAGTTAGTTTAAAATAAATTATCATAAATTGAAATTATATTTAATCAGGTAAAGCATACTTGATTAACACTATATGATAATCAATACAGGTTTTACACAAATATGATGCAATTATATATATATTTTTGTTTTTAGTTATCTCAATTGGAACATAATGAATTAACCCTGAATACATTTGTGGCGATCAAATTAGCAGAAGATTTGAATAATGCTTGTTTGAAATACAGTTCTTCTATCATGGATGCTAAACATTATCATCAAGAATCTCGTATGTTCAAAATTTTAATTTTTTCCTAGTAGTTATTTGAATACAAGTATACATTTACATTATTTTTATTTGTAGATGAGAATAAATTGTATGGGGCTGATGTGCTAATTAGTGAAGGTATCTTGCAATACCTTATTGCTTATGAATTGAGTCAAACGGGATTGAATTTATCTCATAGTCAAGATAAAGATTATATACAGGTAAGTTTAAACTGCAACTACAATAAAAAGTATTAATAAAGAATCCACAAGGTGATGATTATTGATTAATGGATATGTCTCTTAGTTTTTTTAATTAAATTTTATTATATTCTACATCAACCACTTGCGCTGGAAAGACGTGCTACGTCGTAATGCTTTTGTCACAGAATCGCCGTCGACGTGGTATACACGTCGTCATGCGTTGTCACAGAATCTTTGGGTATAACGAAAATATATCTAAAATTTGGTAATATTCTCGAATTTCGAAAATAAATATACCTTTTGAGCAAGGTGTCACAGTTTTACAAATGGTAAATGAAATACTAACGGACGACTTTTGGCAAATTATTGTAACTGAAACGAATCGTTACGCGAGCCAGATACTCCGAAATAATACTCACAAATTAAATAAATATGAAGACAAGTGGAGCGATTCGAATGTTGATGGAATGGAAGCATATTTTGTTTTATGCACTTTGATGTCCCAAGTGAAGAAAAACAATATTCAATCTTATTGGTCAAAAAGAGGCATAATCGAAACTCCGATTTTTCGAAAAATCATGCCATTTTGGAGATTCCTTCAAATAACTATATTATGTCTTAGGTTGATAATAAATTAGTTTAGAAAATATAAATCTTTTCCCGACTTCTTTGAGGAATCGAACACAATGCGAGTTATGTGATGCATTCTAGCGTTCCGTTCTGGACCGTTCTGGTACACGCGTCTGTGAATTTCTTGTCAGCGCAAGTGGTTAAAATAGTATTTCTCACTTATTGCTTTCTTTTATCAGTGCTTAAATTTTTCATTAAAGAAGAAATAATTTTTAATTGCAGAACATAGTCTCAGTTGCAAGTATCATACTAGACGTGCGTTATGAAAAGGAGTGGAATCAAATTGCTAAATTAACTGGAAGAAATGTTGATTATTTAGTCAAATTATTGTATAAGTATATAAATACCTTAGCGAAAAATCAACATGATACATACACAAGCCCCTTTGAAATCACTCAAATGAATATGGGTAAAAAAAATTTTGTTTATTATAATTTATATATATATATATATATATATATATATATATATATATATATATATAATATTTTTTACAGTATTAGGATTAGACATTGTCACAGCAGAATCTTTATTTGGTTATGAACCACACTCTTCGGATGGTGATTATTTAATGAAATCATCTAAGCAAAGATTAGTTAATGACACAAACAAGTACGTGTCGAATGAAAATAAATATGCTGGATCGAGCAATCAACACAAATCTAGGATGCCTTACACAACAGAAAAAGTTGTTTTGCCAGATACATCCAGTTTTTTCTTTCCTTTTGAGGTGTATGGGAAAAAGAAATTATCAAGAATGATATCTTTTCCTAAATACAATAATTTTATGATGTCACCGGACAAGTTCGACAAGAGGACAAAAGTAATGGTGCCTCTTGATGTTCTGGGAATAAGTCAACCTGAAGAAGGTAGGCAAACTACATATATATATATATATATATATATATATATATATATATATATATATCCGGATCCGTCCCGGATCCTTGAATACAAAATTAGTAATTGTTTTTTTGTTTTGCAGGAGAAATAACAATGCAAAGCCTAACACGACCCAGGTCCGTTTTGTCATATATTCAGTACAAAGAAGCAGGTTTAATGTTTCCCCAAAAATATGATTATACCGTATCAAGACGATGGGGTGTCGACATGATGGTTGCGAGTCCAATAATATCAGTTACAATATTAATACCAGGATATAAAAATGAGGAAATTACTCCTTCTCAAGCCTCAGATGCCGAAAGAAATAATTATCCAGACTCCCAAATACAAATTGTTATTAACGAGCAGTCAATAAATCAAACCATGAATAATAATGTTGTAATAAGTGATGCAAATTCTTTGATGAAGGGTTCGAATACCCCAAAAATAAATACAGATGACAGTTTGTCAACAGATAATAGATTGTCTTATTTATCAGAGAACATGAATTATGATAATGGTTATGTAAATGATATGAAAGCTCCATTAGCATTGCCATTGATCGAGGATGAAAAAAATAATGATGCTAAGCTCATTTATAAACCTCTCAGTAATTTGGATCTTAAGCAGCCAATTAGACTTCAAATGTGGCTAAATTTAGAAAATTTACAAGCTTTACCTAGAGCTAATCCACAGTGTGTACACTGGAGAGTTACAAATGGGTAACAATAATAATAAGCACTACATTTAATGAAGCATGGGTGTAACTATATAATTTAATAATGTGTGTATTATGTGTTTTATAGAGAGGGAATGTGGTCCAGAATTGGCTGCCAAACAGAATTACCGCAAGAAATGACTTACCAACAATTAAAATATCAGGCTTCGACTGATTATGAAAATAATAAAGTTATGATAAATTGTTCATGCACTCAATTATCAACGTACGCTGTTCTTGTGGATGTTATCGATCCTAAGGTAAAGAAATTGATTAATTATTAATAAAATAGATTTTTATGCCTTGTCGTTCAGTAAGATATGTCTGAAATTATTAATAATTAGCGTGCAATAGGCTTCAAAAGCCAATAACCAAAAATCACGTAACTATTTTATTATAGATATTAATATCAAAGTGGGTATAATATAACCTATGATAATATAGATGTAATAATTCTACTTTACATACCAGAGTAGTAAAAGCTATGCAAAAACAAATTATATATATATATATATATATATATATATATACCTTAAATATATACCTTAAATATATTATTTATTCAGGAAATACCAGAACCTTCGTTACAACAAAATATTTTACATTACTTGAGCTTCAGTATAGCATTGGTTTTATTATTGACTGTATTGGTTACTTTTGGCTTATTACGTGGACCACAGACTAACTCTATAAGGATTCATACAAATTTGATTCTTTGCGTTTTTATGGCAGAGTTTCTTTATTTTATTGCATTACAATCTGGAAGAACACTGATTGAGTTTGAGGTATGCTAAAGTGATAATTGCTCTAACTTTCCAAATTGTTTCAAATCAGTTATATTAAAAAAATTGTTATTTCAGTTTCCATGTAAATTAGTAGCAATGTGGCTGCACTACTTTTGGTTAGCCACTTTTTGCTGGTCACTTGTTGATATGCTGCATCTATACAGAATGCTGACTGAGATGCGTGATATTAATCATGGCCCTATGTGTATTTATTATGGTTTGGGATATGCAAGTCCCGCTATTATCACTGGTCTATCAGTAGGAGTTCGAGCTCATCAGTATGGCAATAATATATTGTAAGCATAACATTTATAGAAATAAGTCTGCATATATGTAAATATTTATCATTTGAACTGTTTATGGAACATCTAGATTTCAAACTAGCCTGCAAATTTTTGTGTTTATCTACTTAACATTTTGATTTACTATAATTATAATTTATTGAAATGATTTAGTTTTATCATGTGTTTTATCAGAATACATAAGTATTTCTATGAGAATATTAAGAACAGATAAAATACAATACATTGTTTATAAGTAAAAAATTATTCATAATTATTATGATTTTATGCACTTTTGATATTATCCAAACTTTAATTGAGAAGACATATAAACAACGATTAAAAATTTATTACAGCTGTTGGCTTTCAATATTTGAGTCTGTGATTTGGTGGTTAGCAGCTCCTATTTGTTTCACAGTTGCTATTTCATTGATTGTTCTTTTCTTATCAATGAAAGCTGCTTTTACGTTGAAAGAGCACGTTCTTGGATTTGGAAATTTAAGGTAACATGTTTAGTTTTATAGAATAAAAATTAATTATATATCATCTACAACCGTTTATTTTGGTTTTCAGAACTTTGCTCTGGTTGTCAGTTGTCTCACTACCTTTGCTAGTTACAATGTGGGTTTTAGCTTTATTGACCTCGAGTGATAGAGAACCAACCCTGGGTTACTTATTGGATGTCACTATATTAGTACATGGATTCTTTAGTTTAGTGGGTTATTGCATAATTAATAAGCGAGTTAAAGAAAATATTTATAGGTGAGTTTACAGTTAATATTAAATAAAGCTAAATTCTCTGGTACTTCAACATATGTGTTTAATTCGTATGTGAAATCGCTCGTATCTTGAAGCAAATTTTTCTTTATATATACATTGAAATGCCATTAATTAATTGAACTGGAATTAACAGTTCCAGTGCTGTGGTTTTTGTTCAGTTTGTTGAATACCAGAAGTAAATTTATTTACTATTTATTAATTAATTTACTTTTTCCTGTTTGTTCATAATAATGGGCCGAAATGAGTTGTGTTATTGAACAATTCCTATTTTTGAACTGTTGCAATTTTTTCAGGGAAACTTGTATTCATAAACTTTTAGAGCTCAGAAAGCTGCTTATAAATTATTGAGTAAATAAACCAAGAGCAAAAAAGTACAAATTGCAGTACTTATCTTGATTTAATAAAAAAAATGTTTGAATCAGAAGAATATTTTACCCTGACCCCGTAAATAATTCTAATGAAAATAATAAAACAAATGCAACATTTGCGCCGTGTACGAAACATAAGTTTGTTGAAATAATTTCTATATTATTCATAGTTTCTCTATAAATCTTTGAAGTTATTGAAATGGAAAATATTTTTATAGGCAAGACTAGATATTACAGCTACTCAAAAAATGAGATTGTATCGTTAGCGAAAAAGTAAAAAAAAATACAAGCAGTCAATGAATGTTAATTTTATTACATGAAGTTCTTCAAACACAATTACGTGATGAGTGAAATTGTGAAAACAATATTTCTTTAGGCGTTGTTTAACATAATCTACTGTGTGAACGAATATTATAGAATTTATTAATCGGCATTTACTTGATTTTTCTAATGAAGGTTCAAGTCCTAATTACTAATTGTCATGGTAAAATCGATCATGTCATATTTGAAGTATGACTTTAATTAATTATAAAAATTTCCAATGCTATTATAAATATATAATTTGTAATTGATTATTATGTAAATATGTATGATTGACATTAATAAATGTGTGCATCACGATTTTAATTATAGGGCTATAATGCAATGCTTGGATCGCAAGTTACCACTATTGGAATCATCGAGCAGTCAGAGCCATTTGGGAGGTTCGCGTAATGCCGGAACAGCTGGAAATACTGCCGGTTCAGTGGCCGTTGGATCCGACTTACCTCGCAGACACCTTGCCATTAGCGCATCAAGTACCACATCCAGATCCACAACTAAAACAAGTTCTAGTCCTTACAGGTACTAAATCCATTCTCCAAAAAAAGAATAACTACATTTCTAAGTTATAATTGATTTTTTAAAATACATCAATGCATATTATATAATTATCATGGTTATTTGTGAAGGAAATACTTTTTCGATTATATGACAACACATATACTATTATTTATTGATGTATTTTCTCTTAGCATTATCAAATCTTTATATGCTTTACACTTTACAGTGATATATACACATGTTATAACTACCATTCATTTATTTATTTTTAACTTCCCGAAGGAGAAGTTTGTTTTCATCAAAAAATCCGAATCGCTAATTATGTTTTCTCGACGTTTCAAGCCATTCTGAATCGAATGAGGCCATATTTGGAAAAAATATGTGTGTATGTGTATGTGTATGTGAACAGATTTTTTGCCGTAAATCGACGTTTTCTCAAAAACGGGTGAACCGATTTCAAAATGTTTACAATTATGTGTAATAAATCCACTCGGAATACTTTTAATCACTCATAAATTAATTTATTTTTTATTGATTAAGTCGATTTGCTATTTATTACACATATCGGGAAATTCATGTAACTTGCCTCAAGGCAAGATACCAGTACTGACTAGTTCTGTTTGCTATTACAGTCGAAGCGATTGCCATCTTAGAAGTACCAGCACTTCCAATTCTACAAGTGATGTTCCATCATATATGAAACGTTATGAAAGTAATTTACATCGGCACAAAGAAGGTAATTATATATTTATTCAGAATATGATCGTTTTTAGGAAGGAACATATTTCAATATTGTTCACAACTAATGAAAAGCTTTTGGAAACATTGAATAAAAATATACATAATTTAAAAATAAATAACTGTTGTTTATCATATTTTTACGTTCTTGTTTCAATTTTTTTTTGTTGAAATTAATCAGCCTAATAATTAATTACATTTAAAAATATTTTTATGCATTTATTCAAAGCATTTTCTTCATTTTTTTTAGAAAAAGGTTCAGACAGTGATTCTGATTCGGAAGGCCGAAGTTTAGATCTTGCTTCTAGTTATTCTAGTGATGACGACGAAAGTTCGAATAGAAGACACCGACGTAAAGGTATTAATATATTTTAGAATATTCAAATATTCAATTTACACTTTTGTTATTAAAAATTAAATTTAATGTTTTTGTTTATATATGCAGTATTTCATACGACACAAGTATTTATAACAAAATTTCTATAAATTTCAGCTCCTACGATGCTGCACAATTATTTGCCGAATATAACAGAAGCACAGAATCCGCCTGATCTTCATGTTATGAACAGTCCTCAGTTATTTCCAAGTGTCCAATCCAATCCACAATATATGAAACCGATTTATGCACCGAAGTGGTCTAGTAAGCTACCTGATTCATACCTACCATATAATAAAGGTACTAAATCATATTATAGAAATAGTTTAATATGTTATATATGCATATATGTATGTATGTATACAACTACAGGAATGTTTTTTGAATTATTCAAATCGGTTGATCGGTCTTCCCGTAATTGTAGACGAAAATTTGTATCCGCACACACACGCACACACACATTCATTTTTTCTAAGGTATACCAACATGTTCAGAAACTTCTGAAACGTAAAGATATATAAAAAAATATTTTTTTGCTATTACAATAACCCTACGGGAAGATAAAAATCTTGGTACGGAACCCAAAAAAATCGACACAAAATATGCACATATTATTAAAATCTTTATAAAGTATCTGATAATTTGATGTATGTACATATGTTCAATGAACATTTTTGACCTCCAAATGGCCTTTTTTTTAACTTTCCACAGGGTAAGTTATAGTAATGGTGTAAATGGTGTAAAAATGGTCATGCAGTTTTTGAGAGAACGTATCATCCGATTACATTAATTCAAAAAACATTTTGCTTTTGTAGTGAAAAAAATGCGTTTACAGAAAATTCAAAATTTTCAAAAAAGTTTCAAAAAATCAAATTTTCGAAATTTTTCATCATTTTCAATAAAAAATCAAAGTTTTGAAAAATTTAGGAAAATAACAAATCGATTTTTTACAAACATTTTAGAATATATCGTAAATTTCAAAAAAATCGATTATTTCTAAAAATTTCTAAATTTTCAAAAAATAAAAAAAAAATTAATTTTCAAGAATTCAAAAAAAAATCGAACTTTTAAATAATTTTTAAAGTTTTGAAAAAAAATCAAATATAAAAAAAATTTAACAATTTTTTTATAAACATACATATAAGTTGTTTGTAGAATACGCTCGTCACCCATATTTAAAAAGCACTTATAAGTTTACAGTATGTATTTGTAATAAATAATTGATTTGAAAATATTTAAAACAATTCTAATCAATTATTGAGGAATTGTCATGGATTATTATTTTTATTCCTCGAATGTTTAATCGCGGTACGACAAGTTTCAGCAATTTGCTTTAAGGCACGTTGTCATGCACCGTTAGTTTTTTACTTTTTTGTATCATATTTTAATTGAAAAAAAAAAAAAACTAAGTTAATATTTTCAATGTTTAAGTGGAACAAAACGCAATTTTTGTAGACTTAGCAAAAAGTATGTATATTGCAAGGAATTTAAAGTAATTATAGAATGTATTACATCATATACAAGTAATGTTACATTTGTATATTAGTAAGATTTTGTAAGTTTCTGAAGGACAACTACCATTTACAATTAGTTTTTACATGATGTTAATACTAAATTTATGTTTTAATTCTATAGGTCGATGGTCCCAAGATACTGGATCCGATAACGAAATCCAGCCCAATCTCGTACAAAGCACATTAAAAAACAGTGTTACTCAGTCGTCGATGCCGCTGCCTAATCCGGACCTCACATTGGACACAAATCACGTTCGAAAATTGAATGGACAATATGGACATGAATCTATATACGGCAGAAACATTTCACATAGTGAACAGAATATAAATAGTAAATATGAAGAGGGTCAAAATTCTACTCCGCAAATGCCACAGTTTATCGATAAAAACTATGATAAAGTCAATTATGGTCATAATGATTATCGGTATGAAGACCAACGCTCACCTTACAGCAATGGAAAGGATATGTATGATAAGCAAGAGTTTTCAGATAATATGCAACATAGAAATGAAGACAACTCTCATGAATATGCTATTAACTCGAGCAATTATTTAAATGATAGATGTGGCATAAATGTGGTTCCACACAATCAATATTTGGCGTATTCTAATAGTGATAATATGTGCAATCAAGATATAAATATGACCAACACGTACTGTTCTGATTACCCTGATATAACAGATAGAATCTCTGTAAACTCGGAAAAATATAATATTTGTGATAAATACTTATTTCCTTATACAGGTTAGATAAAATTTTGTTTTATATATTGCATTCTATTTTTTAACCGAGTCTTATTTTGTAGCTGAAGAGGATCATTCATCACCTACATTGTCTAATTATGCTGCTAATCCAGGTAGTTATTACTTGATATTTAAATAACTGCTTAGTCTATAATACTTGTAAAACATTATGATGAGACATTATGACGCAAAACTATAAAATATTATAATGCCATGAAGTGTAAATTTAACTCTTAAAAATTAAATTGTTGATATTTTTAGAGATCTAGTTACATTAAACCTTCTGCTCATTATATAGATGTGTCACCAATAGGCATAAATTGTATATTTTTATTAGTAGTTACGTTTTTTTATATTATTTTTGGTATTGTTTTATCCATTAGATTACCAGAATCGCATAATTTCACGTAGTGGGTCTCGAAGAGGAAGTTTGGGGACCAATCATACATCATCACCGCTGCCATCACAATACTGCCATAGTCTTGCTTCAACACCGCAAATTATTGCACCATTAACTAACATTACAGATATCGAAGAGTGAGTATGAACTAAATACGCATGGATCATATGGTAACACATATGCACTTTTTTTAAAAAAATGATCTGATTATAAGGTCATTGTATGAACGCACCTTTTGTTTCCTACTTTTCCCTTATTTATTCAAATTCTATTTTTTCTCTTTTATACCCACACATCAAACCACTTTGTTAAAATCCTGTTTAACTTATAACCCTGGTTTTTAAACGATTTATATACCAATGTATAGATCAATCTGAAAAAATCCTATATGCCGATTTTCAACTTCTTAGCTCATCGTTTGGTCAAGATAACATTGAAAATATGTGAAAGTGGCACCTTTTTCAAACTTATTATACTTGCATTGCATTGCTATGGGATGTATCCAATATAAATACATAAAATTAGCGAATCGGTTTTTTTGACGATGAACCGATTCGCTAATTTTATGTTTTCTCGACGTTTCAAGCCATTCTGAATCGAATGAGACCAAATTTGGAAAAAGTGTGTGTGTGTGTATGTGAACAGATTTTTTGCCGTAATTCGGCGTTTTCTCCAAAATTTAAAAGTCATTTCATGTATCTCGATGAGGACTAGCGTTGCTTAGTTTTGTACGACGATAAACTGTTCGTCCACGTTTTAGCCTCCAATTCTGAATCGATTATGAAAATTCAAAAACCGTTCGAAAGATATTAATTGGGAATCATGCTGATTAGTTTTTGATAGAGATCGGCCGAGCCGTTTTCTCGTAATAAAGTGTTAAAAGAAAATTTCGACGTTTTTTATTATAATTTTTTTGACGGTAGATACCATAGCCTTCTAGATCATATTAAAATATTACGGCGCTACAACTCGTTTAACTTTAAAAATTCGTCAAAGTCAAAGCCTGAACCGATTTCAGAAATTTAAAAGCCATTTTATGTATCTCGATGAAGACTATCGTTTGTCAGTTTTGTGCGACAATCTGCCAAGCCATTTCTTTGTCATATGGAAAAAAGTGTTGAATTTTTCGTCCACATTTTAAGCTCATACTACCGAATCGATTTAAAAAATCAAAAACTGTTGGAGAGATATTAGTTGGGCATGAAACTGGTTAGTTTTAAATGAAAATCTTCAGAGCTGTTTTCTTGTAATTAAATGTTAAAAAAAGCCGGTTTTTATGGAACTTTTTTGGCGATATATATTATGGTTTTATAGAACTTACTGAAATATTACGCCTTTACGGAGTTTAATTTTAAAAATTCATCGAAGTTTGAGAAAATGAGTAGTTTTTTTGACGTTTGTTAAAATTAAAATTAGACGATTTACTTGGTATAACGATAGAGTACTTGGTCTTAATGAACATACTAAACTATTAAAGCCCTATAGAAACTGGTTCGATTATAAAAATTATTGATTTTTGAAAATTTGCTTTTAGAAAATACTCCGAGTTTTAACGAGTGCGGCATAAAGTATTTCAATTTCAATTTCTTAAATTTTAGATTTTTTTACATTACACAAGTCTATTATATGAAATTTTATTTCAAGAAATAAATAATAAGTCAATAAAATATATATCGGTTACAAATATAAATCCTCTTAGAAAATACAATTTTTGACAGTGCGAGAATAGATAAGCTTTCGAACGGTGCTAATTAAAATGCAGTCCAAGTTGTTCCATTAGCAGAAAATACAAAATGAAAAATTACTTTTACTTTTTTGTGCACTAGCAATAGATAATTAAACAATTTGTTATAAATTTTATAGCTCATACCAGTATGAACAAGATCTTGTTTTTTTGTCAATACTGTTTACAGTTCCTCCAAAAAGTCATTTTGAAGAAAGCTGTCTTTGAAAAGAAAAAAGATCTCTCAGCCAAATGATGAGCTACGAAATTGAACATTGGCATATAGTCTTTTTTTTTAAAAAACTCGTGAAATGGCATATCGCCAGGGTGGTGCCGATGCTTTATGAAAAGGCGCCAATACCCTTTGTAATTATAATTTTTTTCATGAGCAAATTAACGTTAAAAAAGATCTTCATTTTATTTATGATCTATTTGATCTAAGCCTTACAAGAGCAGAATACGCTTTTATCAAACACATCTTTCAGCATGCACTGACATATCAAAGTGAGTGCAATTTAGATTTCCTTTTTTGGAAATTTATTTATTATGAATAATGTACACTATTCAATTACTGAAATAGCACCACTAAATACTCTGCTTTTGTATTTGCCAAACTATATACTATATAGTTCAAAGTGTACAATAAAAAGTTTCCTCTAACTTATAAGAAATGCACTAAATATTTGATGTCGTAATTCTATTTAAATTTTTCATTTAGAATGGTGATGAGGATCATAATGTCATTATTCACTCTTATGGTAATACTACTTTATAACATATTAGATATCATAATGTCAGCTTTATCTTTTCACTCTAATATTTATAATTTTATTCTTACAGTACATGGTTATTTAATATGAAGTATTTATACAGGTCATCGGGGGTTTGTAGTATATATACACACATAATTATATATATATATATATATATATATATATATATATATATAATTATATAATTTGTGAAGTTTGGCGATGAAAAAGCAAATAATCTTCAGTTAGTGGATGCACATTTGACTTTTTATATTCCTGTTTAAGTTCGCATTTTGTGAACTTTTCTTTTTTTTTTTCAAAATTATTTTGACTTGGATTAATGTCAGCTCGTTTTAGACATAATCTCAACATGCTTTGTCCTAACACTGGATAGTTTCAAAATAAGTTGAAACCAAGTTGAAAGAAACTCGTTTTAATGATCTTGATACTCTTTCAATGATTTCGTAACAATGATATTAGATATATCTTTGTCAGTAATGAAGTAACATATTGGCGGAAAATTTAGCTTTAGAACATTGAAATTCGTTGCTGAGGATTATGCGTCGCAAATTTCACATACATTTTTTTACAATATTTTTGAGAATAATATTTTCGAAAAAGGTGTATTTAATGCTGTATTTATTAATATACTAACTCAAGTCTCCTTAACTTACTGCTGCATTCTGATAACTGGATTAGGTCTGAGGTATGAAAATATATTATTTATATTAAGTTAAAAAAAGAAATATATACTATTTTGTTAATTATTACAGGAAGAATATGGATGAAACACCGGTGTAGTATTAAAGAAGTGTTAAAATCGAGACAAAATTAAAAAACTGCTCACAAAGTCAAAGTATAAAAATTAATACTATACATTACTGTCAATTATGAAACAAACCTTTGAATGGGAAATAGTGAATTGTTTTTCTTTTTGTTCATCACATTTGTATAACAAGTTTATGAAGGCTGCAGTGTGGTAAAAATGTGAGAATTTTAGACTCTGCCACATAGAAATCTGAGAGCTGGTGTATACGATCGTAAGTTTGTAACATATGAATATAAGCTCTAGAAAAGACTGAAACTAAAAATTTCAAGTTCTAATAATGGATATTTTAAAAAAAATCTCTATATATGCTGAATTTTATGCATTTTGTTAATCATCTTTATTACTTATACATTCCATTTTATCTACTTTTGGTTTCTGTGAATTCACCATTTTCCATTTTTAACAATATTTGACTTTATGTATATAAATATAAAAAAATCGGTTGCAACACAATCTATTAAATATTATAAGACTGGGCTATTTTCTCTACATTTTGTACATAATTTTATAGATAGTTAGATTTAAAACAAAAATGATGTGGTCTATATTTATAGTAGAGAATTGAATTGTATTGTGTTCTGCTCATTTGTATCGATGAGTCATACTGTTTTTAAGTTAGTTTTGTTTAAATCATGATGGTGTCAGAAACATAAATAAAATCATATAGCATTTGAGCATTAAGGACTGCCACTTATAAAACTCATTATGCGTTTTGGCAATCAATGGTTGAAAATCACCTAATTGTTAGGTGTGTACATGACATGAAAATTACCTATGATCATACGAGTTTCTCGTAGAGCTAAGGAAACTTTTTCACCGCATTTTGATATTTTACTATTCGCGTGTTCCGCCGATTACAACGTGATTCACACTTAAGTGAATGCTTGATTTGAAATTTGTTCCTTGAATTTTAATAATGCTTTGAAATCATATAATAGTGACTCCTCTACATCATAATAATTATGCATTCGTTTAGGTTCATTTAATTTTATCGTAACTTTTTTCATCGTCTCCTTCTGTTGTGATCTTATCATTGACCTACGTACGAATACCATAATTAAGCTTAAGTATTTTTGTATGAACATAATTATATTAATATGAAATATTAATATTTCTGTTCATATTCCGACTGAAACGTGGTATTCCTTGTTTTGACACCGAAATCAACTAATATGCAGACCTTTCGACTCGCTCACTTTTTATATAGAAATTTTAATTATCAATGGCTAATACAAAGATAACTATCACGAACTAATATTTTTCCGAAAATCAATATTTCAATATGTCTTGAACTCAAATTGTTCTCTAGTCAACACTCAGTTTCAAACGATATTTTGTAGAAAACAATGTTGATTATAGACTTTTTGTTTTGGCACATGTGCATGACATGCTTAGTTCAATTCTTGGCAAATAAAGAAAAGTATTAGATCAAAATAAAATATTTTGTTGTGCTCGGCCATTTTCTATCAGAGGGTTCGCAGTGAATGCAAAGCGCCCATTTTCGAATGATATTACCATTGATATTTTCCAAAGTCAACGGAGATCTTTAAGGAATACACTCATAATTTTGTTTAGATAACTATCTCATCTCTTATTGTTAGTTCAAAGCATTTCATAAGCATTTATATTCGTTTTATGTGATTAATAATTTATTATATTTAAGTACCTCCGATTACTTAATGTGTGAATGTATTGTATGTTTATAGAATGACGCAATTAGTTAATGAAGATTAGTTCATTGTGGTTAAGTAAATGTAAGAATTTTAATTTATTTAAAATGATTTCAATACTCAATGTTTTGTAATTACTTATATATGACAAACTATCAAAGATTCTTTTAGGTAATTGTTAATTTGAGATACTATTGTAAAATAAAAATATTTTATATCGAAAAGTACTTTTTTTAACTACTGTGATTCCCCAATCACAATATCAAATTTTAAAATTTCAGGTCTGCGACAAGTTCTCAAAGAAACAAACGTTTTCAGTTCTCAAACTTATACAGTGCACATTTAAAAGCCGTGAATGTTTCAATTATGATTTTGCAAAAAAATATATTTTTCTATTTATGCATTATTATTGGTAAAATATCTTTGGAAAATTAAATATTATTTCATTAATGCGTGTAAAATGTAACTGGTGGTGTATGTCATCGTGCCTTAGGGCAATTTGCTGAAATTTCTCGTACAAAAAGTTAAATTTTTTGAAAAAGATTACGTTTTTTAAACATTACAAAAATTCTTTTTTTGTACTTTTACAAAAACTTGATTTTTTTGGGGAAAAAACATGGTATTCGATTTTTTTGGGGAAAAAATTTTAGGGAAAAAATTTTTAGAAAAAAAATTTTTGGAAAAAAATTTGGAGAAAAAATTTTTTTTATAAAATTTTTTCCCTTGCTAAATTTTTTTTGAAATATTTAGCAAAAAAATTTTAAGGTAAAAATTTTGAAAAAAAAAATTTTGGGCAAAAAACTTCGGCCCCACATTTTTTTCCAAAAAAAATTTCGGCCCCACGTTTTTTTCCAAAAAACATTTTCCCAATTTTTTTTTTCCACATTTTTTTCCTAAAATTTTTTTTCTCAAATTATTTATTCCAAAATTATTCTCCCAAAATTATTCTCCCAAAATTTTTTTGACCAAAATTTTTTTTCCCAAAAATTTTTTGACCAAAATGTTTTCCCAAAATGTTTTCCCAAAATTTTTTTCCCCAAAATTTTTTTTCCAAAATTTTTTTGACCAAAAATTTTTTTTCAAAATTTTTTTCCCAAAATTTTTTTGACCAAAAATTTTTTTCCCAAAATTTTTTCGACGAAAAATTTTTTGACCAAAAATTTTTTTCCCAAGATTTTTTTGACCAAAAATTTTTTGATATTGAAAATACTGATATAATTTGAGAAAATTATAGAATTTACTTGAAAGTTTCTGAGATTTTTTGAGAATTTTCAATGCTTTTTGATCATTTTTGAAACTATTTGAAAAATGTCATTATTCATAAATTTGAGATATTTTTTTTGCAGAGTGAAGAGAATATAAGTAAAGAGGACCTTATATGAACTAATATTTTTATGCAGAATTTTATATTTTTTAAATTAGAAATTTATGATGTATTTTTTGTAAAATATCGTTTTTATTTAACTAATATACTTTTTATGCTGTAAACGCACTATGAGGTGTAAAATTTGTTGTTATTAAAAATTTACTATTTACGTTTTATAGGAAATTTTATCTCTATACTTTAATATATATTAATATTTTGATATATTTATGAAATGTAACATCACTTATAAAACATTGTTTTTATTATTATGTAATATAAAAATATACAACATATATAACACAGTATTGTAATTTCAACTTATTTAATAAAAGAAGTTAAATAAAATACCAGTTTCTTGCATTCGTCTCTTACTTCAAATATTTTTTTCCCAAATTCTTTTTTCTAAATTTTTTTTTTCCCAAAATTTTTTTTTCCAAATTTTTTTCTCCAAAATTTTTTTTCAGATGTTTTTCCCCAAAACGTTTTTTCCAAAAATTTTTTTTTCCAAAAAATTTTTTTTCCAAAATTTCTTTCCTCAAAATTTTTTTCCCAAAATATTTTTCCGAATTTTTTCCCCAAAATTTAATAAAATTGAATTGAGTGAAAAATGTAGTTTTTTTGACACGTTTGAACCGACTTTATACAAGTTTTTACCGATAGATGACTACTTATAAGTTATAATCTTTTTTCCAACTTCTAACTCACGCTGTGGAGTACTGCCTGGACAATTAATTGAAACCCTTTTATTGCTTTTACACCCCGGATGACTGTGTCCACCCACCGCGCGCAATCCTCTCAATAACATTGCGATCGCAGTGTGATGCAAAGTACGCATCGCCTGAATGTTCTCGGGGTGTCGGTGCGGGCACCCGCATGAGGCGGTCCCCAAAATTTTTTTCCCCAAATAATTAAAGACCAAATACCATGGTTTTCACCGAAACTTTTCTTTCCTCGAAATTTTTTTACCAAATAATCATATAGTCCACGGTTTTTTCTCAAAAAGAAACGAATCTGACTAACATTTGTCTAGAATGGCAACGAAAATCGCAAAATTATTTTACTGAGAATTTTATGTTAGCGATGCAGTACAGCTAGAAAAATGTTAGTCAAATTTGTTTCCTTATTTGTATGCTTTTCCATGTGTGTTGTGTGTGGCAGCCAACGTGCTGCGTTTACGTGGGGCGACAGGAATGCCGCGATGTGTGTGATGCGACGGACGCATCGCCTGAATGAGACGGGGCGGCGGTGCTGGTTACCCGCATTTTACACTCAATTAAATTTTATTAAATTTTGGGAAAAAAGTTTGGGGCATTCCCTTGTGCGGACACCCCGGGAACATTCAGGCGACGCGTCCTTTGCATCACCCATATGCGGGAGTCTCGAACACTGCGATCGCAATGTTTGTGAGAGGATTGCCCACAGAATGTACGAAATCTCTCGGATCTCAGAGAAGTGAGAGAATAACTCGCGCGTGGTGGATGGGGCACAGTCACCCAGGGCGTACAAGTAATAATTTGACAGACAGACATACAGAAATAAAAAATTATTCAGTATATTGGTACATACATTGAATTAAATGTGGGTTTTTCTACCCTGAGGTATTTTACCCAAAAATGTATGGTTTTACAATACATTATATTTATACAATATTTTATTATTATTATTGTACAAGGATAAAAAAAGGAGAAAAGTTTTAGTCTCCTAAAAAAATATTTTATTGTCAGTGGTTTATTGCTTATATATTTACTGCGGGCTCGATCAGGTAGTTTGGCATGGCATAATTCCCATACCAGATAATTTCTGAAGTGTATTGGTCTAATGCTCGGATTGTACTGTTATCGTGATCCCTACACTTCCGGTAAAAATTTTCAGTGAGCTTTTTTATGTGTTCGAGTATCCGTCTGTTCGTGTAAATATTTTGTTGGGTAGTAGTGTCACGTCAGTGGGTTTCTTGATTTGTCGAGTACTAGTCTCAGTGCTTTGTTCTGTGCTATTTGTAGTCTCCGTCTGTTGGTCTTGGTGTCGCGTTCCATGCCGGAGCGGCGTATGTCAGTAACGGTCTTATGAGTGTCAAGTAAAGTGTCCGCTGGTTCTTCACGCTTAGCGGGCTA